TTCTAATTTTGTTGTAGAGAGAGTATAAGCAATAATAGGAAGGAACAAGGGTTTTTTGCTGGTTGAGATAAGGATAGCTATACAGGGCATTGACTCAACATTGATTTCCTGTGCGTGGGTGTTACCTTCTAGGTTTAATTCTTTTTGATCTCTAACCTTTTCTCTAGTACCTGTTCCCTTTTCCTATTGGCCTCAGTTGCTTTAAGGTATTGCTTTAGTTTCTCTGCGTTAAGGGAACAAAATGCTAGCTAGTTTTTTAGGTGTCTTACTATCCTCACCCCTCCTTGTGTGCTCTCGCTTTTATCATGTGCTCATTCCAATCCCCTTGTTGTGTTTGCCCTTGATCTAATGTCCACATATGAGGGAGCAACATTTTTGTTTTTTTGGGCCAGGCTAACCTCACTCAGAATGATGTTCTCCAATTCCATCCATTTACCCAGCGAATGATAACATTTCGTTCTTTTCATGGCTGCATAAATTCCATTGTGTATAGATACCACATTTTCTTAATCCATTCGTCAGTGCTGGGGCATCTTGGCTGTTTTCCATAACTTGGCTATTGTGAATAGTGGCGCAATAAACATGGATGTGCAGGTGCCTCTGGAGTAACAGTCTTTTGGGTATCCCAGAAAGTGGTATTGCTGGATCAAATGGTAGATCGATGTCCGTTTTTTAAGTAGCCTCCAAAATTTTTTTCCAGAGTGGTTGTACTAGTCTACATTCTCACCAACAGTGTAAGAGGGTTCCTTTTTCCCCGCATCCGCCAACACCTGTTGGTGGTGGTGTTGCTGATGATGGCTATTCTAACAGGGGTGAGGTGGAATCTTAGCTGGTTTTAATTTGCATTTCCTTTATTGCTAGAGATGGTGAGCATTTTTTCATGTGTTTTGGCCATTTGAATTTCTTCTTTTGAGAAAGTTCTGTTTAGTTCACTTGCCCATTTCTTTATTGGTTCATTAGTTTTGGGAGAATTTAGTTTTTTAAGTTCCCTGTATATTCTGGTTATCAGTCCTTTGTCTGATGTATAGTTGGCAAATATTTTCTCCCACTCTGTGGGTGTTCTCTTCAGTTTAGAGACCATTTCTTTTGATGAACAGAAGCTTTTTAGTTTTATGAGGTCCCATTTATCTATGCTATCTCTTAGTTGCTGTGCTGCTGGGGTTTCGTTGAGAAAGTTCTTACCTATACCTACTAACTCCAGAGTATTTCCTACTCTTTCCTGTATCAACTTTAGAGTTTGGGTCTGATATTAAGATCCTTGATCCATTTTGAGTTAATCTTGGTATAGGGTGATATACATGGATCTAGTTTCAGTTTTTTGCAGACTGCTAACCAGTTTTCCCAGCAGTTTTTGTTGAAGAGGCTGCTATTTCTCCATCGTATATTTTTAGCTCCTTTGTCAAAGATAAGTTGCTTATAGTTGTGTGGCTTCATATCTGGGTCCTCTATTCTGTTCCACTGGTCTTCATGTCTGTTTTTGTGCCAGTACCATGCTGTTTTTATTGTTATTGCTTTGTAATATAGTTTGAAGTCAGGTATTGTGATACCTCCTGCATTGTTCTTTTGACTGAGTATTGCCTTGGCTATTCGTGGCCTCTTGTGTTTCCATATAAATTTCACGGTAGATTTTTCAATCTCTTTAATGAATGTCATTGGAATTTTGATGGGAATTGCATTAAACATGTAGATTACTTTGGGGAGTATCGACATTTTTACTATGTTGATTCTACCAATCCATGAGCATGGGAGATCTCTCCACTTTCTATAGTCTTCCTCAATCTCTTTCTTCAGAAGTGTATAGTTTTCCTTGTAGAGGTCATTACATCTTTTGTTAGGTTTACACCTAGGTATTTGATTTTGTTTGAGGCTATTGTAAATGGAATTGTTTTCATACATTCTTTTTCCGTTTGCTCATTGTTAGTGTATAGAAATGCTAATGATTTTTCTATGTTGATTTTATATCCTGCTACCTTGCTATAGCTATTGATGATGTCTAGAAGCTTCTGAGTAGAGGTTTTTGGGTCTTTAAGGTATAGGATCATGTCATCTGCAAATAGGGATATTTTGACAGTTTCTTTACCTATTTGTATTCCTTTAATTTCTTCTTCTTGCCTAATTGCTCTGGCTAGGAATTCCAGTACTATGTTGAATAGGAGTGGAGATAGTGGGCATCCTTGTCTGGTTCCTGATTTTAGAGGGAATGGTTTTAATTTTTCTCCATTAAGTAGTCTTTAAAAGTTGAAAAGTGTATAAGAACATTAGGAGGTATGGTGGTGCACTTCTGTAAACCTACCAGTTAAGAGGCTGAGATAGGAGCATTGCAAGTTTGAGGCCAGCCTGAACTACGTAGTGAGTTCCAGACTAGCCTGGGTTACATAGTGAGACCCTGTTTAAAAAAAAAAAAAAAAGAGGAAAAGGCACAAAGACAAATTATAGTATTTGAACTAATTTTTATCATTTCTGGTGCTCTTCATTCTTTTCTGCAGGACTGGATTGCATTTTATATAATTTCTCTTTAGCCTGAAGAACTCCTTCATCATTTCATATAGGACAGCTCTCCTGGTGAGGAATGCTCTCAGGTTTTGTTAATCTACAGGTAGCTTTATATTCATTCATGGAAGCATTTTGCTGGGTGTAGAATTCTGGATTGAACCCATCTCGTCCAGTGCTTTGAAGACGTTCCTTTTGCTTCCAGACTCCAGCTGTTAATAAGCTTGTTCTCCCCTGTGTGTGATATGTTGTTTCTCTCTTGCTGATTTCAGTATTTCCTTGTTATGTTTGGTATTCAGCCTTTTGACTATGATGACCTTGAGGTCAGCTTCATTGCATTTATTTTGCTTGATCTTTGATTAACATTTTGTAATTGTACATTTCTGTCCATCAAGACTGCAATATTTGGGCCACTCTTTTCCAGGTTTTTTCCCTGCCCCATTCTCTTTCTTGCTTCTTCTTTTATTCTAATTAAATATGTGTTACACTGTTTCACATAATCTAAGAACTCTCCAAGGCTTTGTTCATTCTTTAAAATTCTTTCTTCCTGTGTTCTTTCCCGTGGGTGCTTTCTTTGCTTCAGGTTTACTTCAGTCTTTCCCCTCTTGTGTCCTTTCAGCTGCCAAATCCATCCAGTGAACTTTCTTATGTAGGAAATCATAATTTTTAGTTCTAGAATTTCCATTTGGTTCATTTTAGAATTGTTCCTAGTCTGCTGAGCTTTCTCATTTCTTTATGGAAATTTTCATTCATTGAAAAATGAATGACTTATTTAGGACAGTCATAATATCTGTTTTAAATCCCTCATCTATAAGTCCTGGGATTTTGTTCCCTTTGGAGTTAGACTCCAGCTTCTTTTCTTGTCCTTTAAGAATGCTTGCCATTTCTTCATTCTTGGTAGTTTTGAATTGCACCCTGGATATGTGAATGTTAAGCCGTAGAGAGTCAGTATCCTGTTTCTTTTCTCTGATGAGCGTTGTTTCCTTGGTTTTAATAAAGACTTTTCTTATCTGGACTTGAATTGCAAACTACTTCCAGGTCAGCAGCTCCCCTCAGTTCTGATTTTTTTGTTTTGGCTGGAGTACTTGAGTCTGTTCTCTGTGTGTGTGTGTGTGTGTGTGTGTGTGTGTGTGTGTGCACGTGACTTCACAGATGTGTCAGAGATGGGAGCAGACAGGACTTGGGAACCCCCTCTTGCTTTTTTTCCTTCTGGGGTTCCCCCAGTCTCTTCAGCATTTAGTCTCCAGATTCACATTTTTGGTTTTGTTGGACAAAAAGACCTTAGAGTTCCCCACACGGGCCCTCCTCACCACGGTACTCCTACTAATCCCCAGGCTAAATGCCATGGAAAAAGGGAATTCCCTTGTGTAGTTTTCTGTCTTCTTCCACTAAGTGAATGTGAACTCATCTCCACTCCTGAGTGTGAGCTGCAACACAGTCTGAGCCAGGTCTCCACCAAAGTCTGTATGTTTCTGTTCACTTTCCAGTACTTTCACATTGTTGTTTTCTATATTACTTCTGGACTTATAATTGCTTTCTATATGGGGGTAGGGAGTCTCCTGGGGATAGTAGGTTTCAGTAGGTTAAGGCCTCTCATGCCTGGAAACTGAAGTGACTCCATGATGCTTCCATCTCAGTTGGGAGAGGCAGAGAATAAACAAGCCAAGGAGACAATTGTAGCTTGTTGTACATGCTGTGAAGCAAGTAAGGCCAGTGAGCTAGAAAGTAACCACTTTAGGTAAGGTGTTTGGAAAGGCTTTCTAAAGAACTCTACTTTGACTTGAGACTTAGAAGAAGAATTTGGTCATGCAAAGAGCTGGCAGAAAAATGTTCCAAGCAAAGGCAACAGCAGATTCAAATACCTCAAGGACAGGGAGGGGCGAGTCTGGCTGGAGAGGGGAGTGAAGAGAAGAACCGTCTGCAATGAGATGGAGAGGTGAGGAGGGTCCTGTAGAGCTTTGTGGAGCCAGATGAGGACTTGGAATTGTGGTTCTGGATATGCAAAGGTGGCCACTGTAGCTGTGAGCATATGCTTACCAAGTAGATTTGATCACTAAAGCTTTGTCCTTCAGAGTCTCAAAGGATGGGTAGTGTGGCTTTATAACTATATGACCCACCTCTCAGTTAGCATTGTTGGAATAAAAGCTGGAAGACCAGGCAGAATGGATTTCTGCAATATGGGGAAGTTGAAGTAGACAAATTCAAACACTACTTCCACTTCTCAGGTTCTCTGAAGTCATGGAAAAGGAAATAAGCCAACCTACCTGTAGAAAACATGATGTCAGTTGAGACCACAGTCTCAGCTTGAGAGCACGGACGGGAGAATGAGATGACTCTAGTAGAACAGAGCTGAAGTTCTGGGTAGCAAACAATTTCCCATGATTCTGTGTACAGGCAGTCTTGTTTGGTTTGTAAATGGTATTATGTTCAGGCAGCATGCTAGCATGTGTTTATAGATCTGTTTGCTCTGGGAATGTTTAAAACTTATGTGACCCTTCCCTTTGGTGTAGATGACAGCGCGTCTGCCGCAAGCAGCATGGAGGTATCAGACCGCATTGCCTCTTTGGAACAGCGCGTCCAGATGCAGGAAGATGACATCCAACTGCTCAAGTCTGCGCTGGCTGACGTGGTGCGGCGGCTGAACATCACTGAGGAGCAGCAGGCCGTGCTTAATAGGAAAGGACCTACCAAAGGTGGGCATTGTGCAGGGTCAAGGACAAGCCAGTCTCCTCAAAGATTTGTGCTCTCAACAATGCACTACACCTTAATATTGACACAGAATCACAATAAAACAATCTTAGCCCTGCCAAAGCAGTAACACAAAATGTGGTGATTGTTTTTGGTCTGATGTTGGTGAATGTGCTGCCCAGGGTGTGTACATTTGTTGGTTATCATTAAACGCTCTTTGAGACAAGATGAGGGCTATCCAGACAGACCCCGAGAGCTGTGTTGATCAAGATTCTCTGGCAGAAAGAACCATGGTGCTTCAGGCCCCCTATGGAAGCTGCACCACTACCAAACCCGGCTGATAATGCTCATCTTCTCCTGTGTCCTCTGTGTACACTGTCACTGAGCTCAGCATAGCACACAGCAGCTCAGGTGTCACAAGTGAGGTCCTCAGCCAGTCTGGACACGGAGGGGCAGCCCTTCCTTTGAGGAGCTCTGAGTCCTGAAGGTAGAGCTAACTTGCCCCTCCTGGCTGACAAGCTGCTCCTCTTTTTGAGGCCACAGAGATCTGTACCAAAGGATTTCTAGTAAATTTAAGCCATCGTTTTATGCCCCCAGGGCTCCTGGGAATGATACATAAAAAAGCAATACTCGTGCTAAGTAATTTTATACTGACTCTCTTCTTAAAATTTTGGAAATCAAACACCTTATAAAAGTCCCCCCATCACACACACATTAATCAGGAGTGTGATGTCTGCATTTGTGTGGAATTGCTCATCTTTTACCAGGAACGTTTGTCTGTGTGCTGTCTCATCTCGGCCGCAAAATTCCTCTGGTTAAAACATTTTGAGATTGCAGCATGTAGATGTCCCTTTTTGTTTGGATTTTCCTTGGAGTCAGGAGAAGACTGTCAAACACTGCACGTTCAGTTCTTTCTCAAGTGCTCGGCTGTATTTTCACACATCTGTGGGAAGAAACCTATTTCTTTGTCCTTTTGGGTAGTCATGAGCAGCTCCGTGTGAGATACACATGCGTGGCCAATGTCTCTATTTTGAATAATCCTTTTAAGTAATCTTTTTCTCCTTTTAAATTGCAAAGTGATTAGGGCTTTTTAAATAGAAACCAGGTCATTTTAGGTATTCTTGACCTACTCAGCTTTCCAAAAATAAATCTGATGACTACTGTATCCCAAGGGGTGCATTTGAAGTGTCTGGCTTACATGAAGCTTCAGACTTCTAAAGTGGGGAAAATGGTATAAAGGGTTTGTCTCAGGTTTTCGTGTCTTGATTATTAGTGAAATTTGATTTCTATAAAACTTCTAAGAGAAATGACTTTTTCATGGCTTTCTGATATTTCGTTTTGAACTTTTTTCATAAGTGAAAATGAATTAAGACATGGACGCCTGAACATCATCACAAGAAGTAGAAGGAAGACCCCAAGAAAGTGAACAAGGGGTGTGGTAGCCCCCCTCCCCTTGCCAGTTGGAGCAGCCATGCTTCTCCCTCTCCATGCAGCTGATTGGGGTGGCTGTTCTACACCGGAAGCTCTGAGTGCTGTGGCTGTGAAGTTTAGAGAGCCACCCTCAGTCTGGACAGCTGACAGACACTCTGTAGTTGTGGTTTAGGAACACCTCCTTTAGGTTTTAAGAGGCCACATCATTATAGGTTCAGTAATGGGCAGAGGAGAAGTGTTTCAGATTCCAGATTTATTTTTTTTAGATTTTGGAATATTTGTGTATACATAACAAAATATCTTGGGGATGAGGTCCAAAATTCATTTATGTTTCATATATACCTTTTACACATACCCTGAAGGTAACTGTTACTGTAAGAAATACTGAGATAATTCATAAAAGAGAAAAGGTTTATTTTGGCTACCATTTTGGAGGTTTCCATCCACTATTGGTTTGTCAGTGTTGCCTTGGGTCCATGGTAAAGCAGCACACCATGGCAGCCGCTCACAGCAAATCTGCTTACCTCATACCTGGTGCTGGGCTCCACTCCTCCCTACAAGGGCATGTCTCCAATGACCGGCCTCACCTCCACCATTTAGGGGTCACCTCTTAAATTTCCACTATCTCCCAATAGCACCAAGCTGGGCCTTTGTGGGGATAGTCCATATCCAAACAATACTAGTAATTTTAATATGGTATTTTTGTATGCCTGTAGCCTGTCATGCAAAGTCAGGTATGGAATTTTCTATATAGTATCATGTCAGTTCTCAAAAAGTTTCAGATTCTGGAGCATCATACATTTTCGATAAGGATGCATAACCTGTATTGTTAATATCATTTATAATAGTTTAGCTTTCTGTTCTGATACAGATTTGATACCTGGCATTCTAATTTTTAAATATTAAGTGATCCCCTTCTGGTGTTACTTGTAGAAGCTTAGGGCTCAGTGTTTGGGCCATCAGGTGTACATCTTTGTGCTGTTAACATCAGGGATGGTTGTGCTGCAAAAGGCAGGCTGTCTTAGAGCACAGTGAGCATTCAGAGTGTTCGTTAGTGCCTGACAAGTGTCCTTCTTTGTGCTGTGACTGTTCCTGTTCATTAGACTGCAGTCAACATTCACTAGCTTCAGTATTTCCCTTGAGCCCATAGATATTAATTTGGATCAAATGAACAACTTGTCTCTCAGATATACTCAACTGAAGAATTTGTCACTGGATATTTGTACTAAAACCAAGTCAAAGCATTTTATTGGTTAACAGGAAATTGTCCTGATATTTGCAGAGAAAGGAAACATTAGTTAACAGGAACTTGTTCTGCTGTCTGTAGAAAATGGGAATTGAGAGCATCATTTCTAGTCTGATCTCACGATGGATATCCAGCAACCTCCTCTCCTAATCACTTTGCTTTACAGTTGTTCCAAATACCCACAAACTGCTGGCATACTTCATACCAGAAACTGAGATGCCGGCCACAGAATGGGCCCAGGTTCCAGTCATAGCAATAGCTGTGTTCTCTGTCCCTTTACAAAGACCACAAGAACAGAAGATGAAGCCACATTTTCAGGGATCACTGGATTCAGGGAATGTGGGATTTGTGCTAAAAAGATTCCTTCCAAAGAGAGACCACTATATTTGGCAGTTGCTGTGAGCACATCTCCATGAATGGCCGGCCATCTTTGCACTGTGTCATAGCATCTACTTTAGGATGGTCAGGAACCAAGAATGACAAGTCATGCTGGTTCAAGGAACTGATGGTGGGAAGGTTTGAAGTGCCGATGGTTACAGGCTGCAGTGTATCATGAAATACACACCTACTCATTGGGAGAGGTGTAATGAAAATCTTCTGAAAAAAACCACTAAAAAATAAAGTTGAATTTGACCCACAGGGGTTGGTCCTAGTTGAATAGCTTTGACCTATGGGGACAAATCATTCCATTGATTCAATAATTCCTTCCCACCACAGTACTTCACTTACTTGAAGAAAGGTATTGCTGACTTCTAAGCTTTGACCACTTCATCATTCTTTGTGCAACTTAACTAGTATGACATTGAGCACCATGGTCTCTGGAAAATGATTCACCAACAGACTGAGTTCAGAGCTGCCTGAGACAGCAGAAAGATGCTGGCCACCCAGTGATGTGCTTCACCACTGGACACATGGGCCACTTAGAGGAAAGGGTGTCCCACGCTCTTCTTTTCTGGACATCAAGTTCTTGGCCCTGAGATTGGCCCACGTGCACTCGTTTTCCAGCTCTTCCTGGTGGATACTGCCCTGGGTCTTAGGGTTTACTGAGTATCTGTGTAAGCTCCCAGGCCTTTCTCCTTTGCCTTTAGCAGTTGTTTAAGATAGGAAGGACCAATTGCCATGTCACACATCTTAACTGTACAGAACAAACCTCAACCCGCAAAGCTAGCTTTGCTCATGTTCCATTTACTTTCGGATGGAACTTTTTGGCATGTTTCAGTTTTGCTGAGTGTAGGTTCTGGTACACTGGAGGAAAGAGAATCAAATCATTCATGGAGGCATATACTCTTCAAATTCCTGCTAATATTAAAGTTTCTCAGAGCTGTGATTGGACCAGGGCCATACTCAGTGGTAGCAGAATGCAGTAAACAGACCTCCTTTGGTGTTGCTGTTGTGAGTGTAAACAGAAAAATTCCTGCTGAATGAAGGAGTTCATTACAACATTGTACACAATGGAGACAAATTGGATGGAAAACAACAGGGGAACAAGCAAGTGGGGCATGGCCAGAAAATTATGGTAATTACGTATGATTAAATCCTGTGTAGTCCTTAAAAACGTTTGTGTTGCAGCTGGGTGTAGCGGCTCATGCCTGTAATCCCAGAACTTGGGAGGCTGGGCAGGAGGATCATTTGTTCAAGACCAGCCTGGGTCTTGAACATAGCGAGACCCTGCATGGAAAACAGAAAAAAGTTTGTGTTAATGTCAACAAGAAGGAAAATGTTTATGTGTTACATTGAGTCAAAAGCAGGACATAAAACTGTATAGATCATGTTCTTTGAGCTACAAAGAAGAAATTGATACAAAGAAGACTAGAATGAAATATACCAAAAGTTAACAGTAGAATTTTTTTCTGAGTAGGGATCACAGTTTTTTCTTTTTTATACTTTTAGTTTGATTCCAAATCTTCTCTGTTGTATATTCCTTAGTAAAAATCATTTCTTTCTTACTATTGAATCTGAGGTCAGCAGCAAGGCTTGTGGTGAGTGTCAGGAGACCAGAGGTCATTCACATGTGTCCCAGGAAGACGGGGAGCATGGCTGGGAGGTCGCTGAGTAACAGGTCCACTGGGTGCACGCACAGCGGATTTCCATTCCAGGGCCAGAAGCTTGCATGTAAAATGTGGATTGAAATACAGCCACTGGCCCATGGAGCTGGGCTACCTATTTAGTCACACAGCAACCAGCTACTAGGTCATGTTTCTTTTTCAAAATTTTGCTTGTTTGCTCAGATTGCACTTAAGCAGTTTGTCTTTTTTAAATACCTTAATGGACCCTTTGTAAACTTTTTTATTGGTTCTATCAACTAGTGGGTTCATTAATTAATTATAT